AAAAAAAAAAAAAAAAAAAAAAGAGAGAGAGAGAGAAAGAAAATGTGTGAATTAGAATGAATTAGTGTCGCGGAAATTTCATGTAGTGTTCACACCATATATCCGTGAGAAACATATCCGTCAAATAAAAAACTGTACAAATTAGTGCAAACTTTTGTAGGTCTACTGAAGTCTCTATGACTGAACTTACTAATATAATGTGTGCAAATTTGTGCAATTTGTTACAGAGTGTTTCACGGATATATAGTATGCATTATAATAAAGTATTTTTATACATAGCTTTATAATTGACTAACTTGTTTTGATTTTCACAAGCTTGAGATAGCTTCAAAGAAATTTCTATGACAGCATCATCTTCCTGCATTTAGGAATGCAAAGAAACAAGTCAACAATATGATTAACATTACTTATCGAAATTAATGATTGAAAACAATTGAATATTTAGGAATTATTGTATGAGAATAAAACCAAAAATTAACTTGTCTTCGCTCAATGAAGAAAACCAAATGGTACATTTTTTTCTTCTATAAAGTAATAACGTTTTCTTCTTCGATTGCTACGTTAATTCAGCGGGTTTTTTAACTCTAGAAAGGCAGGAGAACCAGCAAGGAACTCTATACTTATTGGCTCATGTGATTAGCTAGACTTGCACAAATTCCTTTGTCTCCTTATTAGTTCTCAATGCCAAATAAAGCACAGGTAGCCCAATTAGGATCACACAAATGCAACGCGCTCGCGTCTTTTGGCGGGAAACGCAAATGAAAACCATGTAATCGATGTAATTAATGTGCAAGTCAACTTCTCTCAAACTCCTACCTCGCTTAAATTTTATGTGCGCTTTTTTCTACTTCTTTGCTCGTGCAAATCCAAAAGAGGTCGACATTATATTATATAGAGCGAGTCTAATTATTAGCTAACTTACTTTTGATGTCCCAGTAGCAAGCATTTCTTGTAATGTTAGACGAAGGTAGTATTCGGCCTTTCAACATAAGAATTCATTAATTAAATGCATTAGAAAAAGTTTAAATATCAAAATTGATTCCGGGATGTCGAAATTACGTCTTTAGAGGTTGTAAGTACCATCGGTTATAAATACAAATCTGGGGTGCTTTCCATTTTACCCGGAAAAACCGGACATTTTGGTTGGAAAGCAAATGGTATGTGTTCCGGATGTGTCTTCTGATTGAGGTAATACTTTTTCCACTCTTTTCGGTCCTACGCACCAGTAGACGCGTGTACCGTTTGTCGGAAATCAAAGTTTTCTGAATTTTTTTTATCACCAGCAAATGAATTTCCAACCGGATGGTTTGGTTTAAATGGTACGCACCCCTGGTTCACCTTTATGAGAGAAGTGTTGCCTTTATGAGTTGTTTAAAGCAACCCAAACTTCAAATAACATTACACTACTTAAATAACATTGTCCGTAGTGCAAAAACAGTCAGGTTGAAAACATCAGAACATAGAAGCTGAGATCGAAAGGTGTTTCTGTCAGTGCAACAATTTATGAACATTCTACGAGTTGCATCGCTAGATACATGTACATCTATTAATTTGAGATGGCACACTGTTCTAATCAACGTACTTCTTATGTATTTTGGTCTCAGCTTCTATGTTCTATGTTTTGAGCCCACAATGAATTTTGCAATCGAGTGTATTTGAAATTTGAATGAATATACACTAGAATGCATTACTAGTAGTGAATTTTCCTGGAACAACTACAAATCTTGATTTGTGATAGTTATTTCATAATCACTATTATCTATATAACAATCTTATCATACCTCATCCCACTTCTCCAACTCAATTGCCAGATTCGCTGACTGAAATTGAATTGTATGAAAAAAATAATTAAATTTTAATAATAGCACAGGGAGCTCAATTTAGATACGTGAAAGGAAATTCAAAGTAAAACCATTAAAAAACTGTATTTAATGCTTTGCATTTGACAGAAGGAAATGAAAAAGCCAATCAAAAATTTTTATTTTTATACTCCTTTGTTTTTTTATATTATTGGTTTCCCTTTGCTTGTGTTATTTGGTTAGCACTCTTTCACCAAGGGCGGATCCAGAGGGGGCAAAGGGGGGCTAAAGCCCCCCTTCAGCGGAAAAAAAGGATGCTTTTTTATATTGTTTTCTGTTGTGTTGACGGAAGAAACTCAATTAGCCCCCCCCCCTCCCCTAAAATTTTGGCTGGATCCGCCCTTGTTCACATCTACTGAAAGAACCTATTTGGATAATAAAACAATAGAATGAGGCAGAAGCACAACAGATGCATTTCATTATTTGACACTCAAAGGTCCTAATAGATGGACCCTTCTTCAAAATTATCTGGAATGTGAGGCTAACATGGAAATACAAAAGAAATGCCACAAATTCCATGAGAAAAAGTGTGATTTACTTTTTTATTTTCATGTTGGGCTGGCATTCAAGATAATTTTTAGAAGGGTGGCATAGTGGTTTACTGCTCGACTCTCATCACTGTGGTCTGGGTACGAGCCCTGGCTCAGGCTGGATCATATGTGAGTTGAGTTTGTTTGTTGTGTTGTTCTCTCCCTTGCAATGAGGGTTTTCTCTGGGATCTCCGTTTTCCTGCCTCCGTAAAAAGCAACATGCGAGTTGAGTGTTGTATGTTGAAAAAAATAGAAAGTAGTGGTAGTGTGTGTGGAGGGAACCTCACAGAAGAGCCTTGCATGGGGAGTGGTGGTTGTAAAGAGTCCATTGGTCTATGTGAAAAAGTGCTAACAATGTCATGCCGGACCACATCTTGTAACTTTATCTAAATTGGGCTCCCTTTGAATAACAGACCTAGTATGTTTATTCGATCATATCTGCAGTTGATAGGAAATATTCATGGAATAGAGTAGCAAGGTCTTCTGATTTACCTGATCCAGTACATATTTGAGGGCCTTGTGAAAGGGTCGCTTTCCTTTCTTTGAGGGATCATGTCTTTGTTTTTCGGCAATATCATTGTGTATCATGTTCAAGACTTCTTTAAGTAGAACATAAGCATCTTCTTTCTCCTCATTTTGTAGGTATTGCTTCAAAAAAAAAAATCAAAAAAATCAAAAAAATCAACAACAAAAAAAACAAACAAAAAACAAAACAGTACACTTGTTTACATTCTTATCAAATTTATAATATAAACAATCTATTGGTTACTTTTGCCACTTCATGAGCAGACATGTGAAACTGGGACACCAATGTCAACCTAACTGTTCTTTTACTCTAGCCGTGAACAGTCAAGTTTATTTTTTCTTTTATTTGTGTAACTATTCTTTTATTTTTTATTTTTCTTTCATCATTTCATTACCTTGAATAGCTGTAATAGACTTTCACTATTATGTAACTCGAAATCTATTGTTTTCGATTCGTAATCTGATTGGCTGACAAACTCTACTGTCTATGGTTATAATAATAGAACAAAAGTAACATTCTCTTTTTGGTGTCTTTGAATCATGTGTAATTTACCTTTGCCTTTGCTAACTTCATTTGCAAGTCAGATCCTCTTTTTACTTTTATTTCTTTTTTCTTTTGATATGTGAATGTAAACACTGCAACACCACCCATACCTTAAAAAAACACATGTAGGAAGATGATAAGTATTTGGGAATGCATCTATGACGGTAATGAACTTTATTTTATATACAAAGATATTTTGAAATGTAATTTCTTGCACTTTGGCCATGTTTGGAGTCACCTAGTGCTTCTCGGTAACATGCACAGAATATTTTTCACAATGGTTTTGGTTTTGGGTGGTTGACATAAACCTTAGAAACTCTTTTTTTATAAGATAAAGTTCATTTCACATTAAGAAGTAATAAAAAGTTACAATTCACTTTACACATATACTTTATTCAAGAAAACCTTATCATCATTTCATATGTGCTTTCTGACCATGTCATTGACTTCTATCAAATATTATTTGTGGCAATTCTGCACATGCTACTTTGAGGAGGAAAAAAACTTTATTAAAGGGCATGACTTTAAGTCATGAAGAGGTGGAAAATCCCATCAAATGTTTTGGCAACAGCAAGAATCTCACTTTTACATGTTGTCATTGTTGGGGACCGAGTGTTTTCTCATTAAAAATTCAAAATACACTTAGCCGGACCATTCACCAGCTCATGTCATCTCTCAAAGTTGGCATGGTATATATTAATATATAGCAAAGTTTATAGGCTGATGTTAACTATTGATATTAATGTGCTAACCAAAATATTCTTAGCTGGACCATTCGCCAGCTCAGGTCATCTCTCAAAGTTGGCATGGCATATATTAATATATATGCAAAGCAAAGTTTGGCCTGTCGTGAAGTATTGATATATTGATGTGTAAACCAGACTGAAACAAAGATATATTTTGTTTTAATGGTTGGCAAATTTGAATGAGAAAAGTTTCCTGACATCAGTGTTTGTAACAGTGAACATTGCTATTATAAACTTGTTATGAACAACTAATTAAAACAACAATTCACAGCTTACAGTCCACAACAGACCTCAAGCATGATGATGTTGACCCCCCCCCCCCCCCCCCCCCCCCCCCCCCCCCCACGATAAAAATAACGTACCTTTCCCAAAGCTTACAATAATTTTATTTTTAATCTCTTAAACTCCATGCATATTATCTAGGAAAAGAGATTTTGCACTATCAAGTTACGGTAGCCATGTTATATTAGATGGTAGGAGCAATAAACTGGTTTTACTTAAGAAAGAATTCAATGCCCGAGAATATACAGCTGTAAAGGAAATAATTTTATTGTTCTGTCATATCTAACATGGCTGCCGGCACGTGATTTTGGTACGGCTTCGATAGAGACAAAATTCATTTTAATATCCCTTTACTTACCTACGATAAGCAAGACCCACAGTTCATCTGGTATTTTAAAGGTTGTTCTTCTAGACTTATTGGATAATTGTCGTTTTATCACTGATAATTGTGAACTTGAACCTGGTACATTTGAACAAACTAAAAAATTTCTCGTAAACGGTTTACATTTTCTACAACAACTAAATGCCCTTTCTCTTGTCTGTGGAATTAGTTCACATCCCCGCACGTAGCTCACAAGTAAGGAATTTGGTATTCGACTATTAGTTCTTAAGTTTATTAATAGAAAATTCATTTTGCCGTCAAGGTCGATTGAAATAACATTTCCTCTTTGACATTTTACGCGCCTACGGTATTGATATTCTGCGGTCTTCAACACAGGAAGCCCATTGTATTTGGAGCTTTTGAGAAAGATTAGGCCCAAATGTCAAGAAAGAGGTTATGTAATTATCAT